GTGTAGTAGCAAATATAATACTTACAGTAGCTCAAATCAAAATATGTACGCATGTTACATACTTAACACAAAAATTTTATATTTTATGAAGCTTTTACAATTTATATACGTCAGCTCACTGACGATGGAGTCATGTTAACTTTCAATATCCAAAATCAAGACATCTGCTGTAAGCAAGTCAACTAACCTAAACTAAATGTCTAGACTCTCCCTACTGTCATGGGAAAGAGACAAACACATTCCTCTCTCTGGGCAGATGTCTGAGATGATTCACTCTTTAGAGATAACTTCACTGTCCACTGGTTGTAGAGGAGCATAAATTAGATACTTAACTTTAAGATGGCTAAACATAGGTGAGGGAAATCCCATGTTAGTGTGAGCTGTTTATTTGAATGCTTTAATCTTTTTACATATTTTAAACAAGAACTTCCAGAGGATATAATTGGAATATTCATTATTTGTTAATTTTTTTCTATTTTTTTTCAGAGCTTGAAGAATCCAGACAGAAATGCCCACCATGCTGGTACAGATTTGCAAATACTTTCTTGATCTGGGATTGCTGGAGTCCATGGTTAAAAGTAAAACACGTCGTCAATTTAGTTGTGATGGATCCATTTGTTGATCTTGCTATAACTATTTGCATTGTTTTAAACACCTTGTTTATGGCCATGGAACATTACCCAATGACAGAACAGTTTAGCAGTGTCCTTTCTGTGGGGAACCTGGTAAGTGGTTTGTCATGCACTACTTGGTGTAAAAATACCCTTTTCTAAAAGAAGAAATCCATAAATGCATTGCATTGGTTTTAAATTTATTCCAGGTTGGGTTTTATAGTCAGTTTAGAAACTGTATATATGATCATATATGACATGTGATAAAGTGATTTCTGCTGAGCCTTTAACGTTAACGAATCTATTTTGTAACTACTATAATGAAATAACTGAATATGTGTGGCAGCGCAGTCTTCACTGGATTGTCAGATTTCTTGAGGTCTACCTTGGGTTTTTTCCTTAAAATGTTAAGGTAGATTACCTGATTTTTACCATGGTACTGATATTCCATCACAGAAAATATTTTTCTTTTGTAAGAAATTGATGAAATATTCAGATGTCAGAATTTCTCTTTGATTTTTTTTTCAGTTACACTACAGTGAAAGTGTGTTTCCAAGAAAGGCATATTTCTTGTTAGCAGTAAGTCTGCTTACCACTTTAGGTAACTAAAAAATACTTAATAAACTAGAAGATTATTATTTATTCTCTAACAAAAACCACCTTGTATCTGTAAGTTTATTAGTGATGCCTTTCCCGATTTTAACCTGATCCAGAGATTTAGGGTTACATGTAATTCCTTTTCCAAGCAGATACCTAAACGTGGCATAACAATTAAATGTTTTTGTCTGTTTCTCTCCATTTGCTTCGAATGCTCAGGAAGCAGAGGACTGAACCTTGCAAGTGTTTGTTTCAGAAGAAGATTCATACATTTTTAATTTTTTGCCAGCTCACATAACTACCAATAGTTTACACAGGAGAGGTCTGGATTGACTCACACAGCATGCAGTCCTGAAAATCAAAACCAACCCAGTGTTCTGAACTAGTCACTCAGAAAGATTAGTTTTGAAAAGTCTGCTAATATTTAACTGGAGCAGTAATAGATTTCTCAGTCAGAGTATGTTTTAAAGTCTGAACATTTTCCTTATATGTACTGGTAATACATCCTTCTATGACTTTTTTTAAAAATAGAACTAAAATTGAACTTACTACCTACATGTACTTGTGTGCATTACAGTTTCATTTCTCCTGGACAAAGATCTAATTGCTGGCATATTCTTATATTCATCACAGATTACAGAATATTGTATTTTAAAATGTTGGTCTGTCATATTGTAAGAATTATTTCTGACCAACCATTTATACTTATAAGATCTTCTGCTTTTTCCCATCGCATATTTTTATATTTTTACTCTAAGCTAGCAACAGTCATATTTTTAACTACCTTTGTAACAATCCAGTATCCTTAATTAGGACTATATATATGCAGTGAATACTATTTTTTTTTAAATTCTCTGTTCCTCACTGTATTAATCTATTAACCTTAATTTTCTGATTTCCATTCAAAATATATTAATTTACTCTTTGCTTGTGACATCACGGTCTGTTTGAGGATAAATTAAATATGACAAATATGACTCTGCCTTTTCTGTAGCATTTTAATGAGAAGGAATAAATAGTTCTAAAATGCAATGATTCATTTTCATAATACTAAAATTCATTCAGTATTCAAAAGTCCTAAGTAGTTACAAGAAAACTTGAGTTTACTTCTGTTAAAATTTGTTTTTGTGTATTTGGGGATGCAGTTATGCTCAAGAAAAAGTAGTTTGTGGATGGAATGGGTTATTTAGTGAAGGAGCTATTTTAAAATGAAATGTTTTTCATTGCTTTTTTCCAATTATTTTGACAAATATGACAGTTTTGTCAAGAATAATCTTCGTTGCGTTCTCTTTACCACACACAGCAAGACCTGTTACGTTCTTCTCATTATATGGTAACATCTCTCGTATCAATTTAATAGTATAGTGTTTCTTGATATATTTCTAGTTTCTCAAAAGTATACACTTTTTAAGAGGTTAATATTTACACTTTGACAATAGTGAATGTTTCCACAGCAATATATCCACCTCCTTATCTTCTTAAATTAAAAGGTATTCATAGTGTAGTTACATAGTGTTGTAAAAGGTCAGCTTTGCTTCCATAAAACTTGCTGTAGGAGGACTGAGGACGAGCTGGGTAAAGAACTATCACAAGGCAATGGCGGAGTACGTTGGTGTACTTTAGCAGACTTTTCGATCATCTAGGATATCCTTTGAGTGTTGTGCAGAATATTCATATGTTTTTAGTGGTTTTGCATTATGCTCCAAAACTTCTTTATTATGCTGCACAAACCACTGATCACTACTCATTGCAAGAAAGTGTTGGGTTAAATTCTGGACTTTAAAACACTAAAGAACATTGATAATTTCACATTTGGCCCTTCCAGATATTTTAAAGAACATTATCACCATGACATTCTTTTTCCCAAAAGGAAATAGCTATCGCACAGAATAGTAGCTGTGCGTGAAACCTCTATATCCTTACAAAAAGCCCAGTGCAAGAAACTGCCAACTTCTCCTGGCTATTCTACCCATACTCTTCAACTCTGACCTAAAAGACAGACCTTAGAGAGTTACTTCTAACACTTCTGTTTAGCCTGTGAGCAAGGAAAAAAATTGCTGTCAAGTCTTCTTTTGCTTTACTGGGACTATCCTCTAGAAACAGGACTGAAAACATCGGATCACATGACATCATCTGCTGGATGGATAGTCCAGCACATATCAGTCAAATATGAACCAGAGCTGAGCTGTTGCCTGGTGAATAGCTTTTTATAGGTTTATCAAACCTCTGCCCTCCTATATCTGTCCTGATTTAGTAATTTGTTTTTAATTATCAGTTTTCAGTGTTTAGAAATACTTAGATGCCATTTGGAGATAGAATCAGCTGGGGTTTGTAGTAACAGGTATGAGAACTCAAGCGGGATTAGAAAAAATTACTCAGGTATGTAAATTTTTCATTTACTCAACTAATTAATTACATTTTGTTTTAGGTATTCACTGGGATATTCACAGCAGAAATGGTACTAAAGATAATTGCCATGGACCCTTATTATTATTTCCAAGAAGGCTGGAATATTTTTGATGGTATTATCGTTAGCCTTAGTTTAATGGAGCTTGGTCTTGCAAATGTTGAAGGATTATCTGTTCTTCGGTCATTCAGATTGGTAAATACCTTGATAATTAAATATTTCCATGCAATTGTCTCACTCAAAAAAATGTGCTGATGTCTATAATAATTATCAGTATTGTAAAGATATATTATATACTTAAATGGCTCACACTATTTTTTATATATGCCTAATTTGCAAGCCATATTTGATAAGTACAAGTTTAAGGTGTTTGTCAATTGATATCCTTTGATATCTTTGGTATCAAATTATCCTACTGATATCCTATCCTACTGATATCCTTTGCCAGCATAAGACTAACTGCTACCTTTTGAGAATTGTGTAAATCTTTGTTATACTGATTTCATTAAGATTCATCGAAGCTGAATATCTGTAAAAACATACATATTGCCACCAGCATAAAGAATCATAACATTTTTAGTCTTTATATTGTGAACATTACTTTGTGTTACTCATAAAGCCCCTAAGTAGATCCTCGCTTCACAACATTTATTTTAATGGGCACCGAGAATAAATATTTAGTAACTCCATTACATATAACAGAGTCATAACAATCTGAATTTAAGATAACACTTAAATTGAAATGTTATTGAGCTTCTACTAGAAATGTCTTTTTATAGCAATTAGTATTGTACACAACTAATTTATACGTATGTTTACTGGAGGCACAAGATTCATGACGTAAAATCTGTATCACTAATAGTTATCACATTACTTGAAAACCTAGGTTATTTCCTAATATAGAGAGCAGGAAGCAGTGACTTAGTTTATTAGCACCAGTTGCAATGGTACCCAGCTTCTCATACCATAGTTTGGTTACTGAATATTATTTTTAAGTTAGTGTTTATGATTTGAATGGACATCACAATATCAGCATCAAATTGTTGCTTCAAAAATTGTCCTCTAAGCCTGGAAGACCTAATGTGGTGCTGAGGGAAATGTGGAACCAAGCCAGCAAAGAGGGTGTAGTGAAGGTGATGAAAAGAGTATAAACTTCTAAAATGTCTTTAAGAATTGTTCAGTAATCATCTGTAAGTGGATGTTTAAAAATATTAAAATAAAATGTGGTGCAAACACGAATTACGGGTTTTTTTCTATGTGCATCACTAAAATGTAATGCTGAACACTGCAGTTTAGGCAAATACTCCCTGCTCCCTGCTTTCCATTAAAATAATAATATGTTCCTACTGAAGTACAATTTAATCTACAGAAACTGATATGCTCTGCTAAACAACTTGGACCTAGCTTCTATTTCATAACTAGCACTAATGATTCCTCTGCTTTTTTGTTTTTCAGCTTCGAGTTTTTAAGCTAGCAAAATCTTGGCCAACTCTAAATATGCTGATTAAGATTATAGGCAACTCAGTGGGGGCTCTGGGTAATCTGACTCTGGTCCTGGCCATCATTGTCTTCATTTTCGCTGTGGTTGGGATGCAGCTGTTTGGGAAAAGCTACAAGGAATGTGTCTGCAAGATCTCCAGTGACTGATTGTATTTCGAGTGCTGTGTGGAGAATGGATAGAAACGATGTGGGACTGCATGGAAGTTGCAGGCCAAACCATGTGCCTTATTGTTTTCATGCTGGTCATGGTGATTGGAAACCTAGTGGTACGTGATGAACATTTTTGGACATTAACTCTAATGTAAAATGTATATAACTTACGGCTAGGCAGTGAGAATGTTTGTCATGCTTCTGTTTAGAATTAAAAAATAAATCTGAATGTGCTCGATTTGGGGTAAAAACGTGTGATGATTCCCTTCTCCCCCTCTTCACTCATTTCCATACTTTGAAGTACTCTCACTATGGGTCCAGGAATCTAGGAATACACCAAAATGTCAAATCAAACACCCTGTCATGGGAGTGCTACAGCTAATTTAGAGGTGCTGTTTAAATCCAAATGTCTTCCTCACTACTCTTGAAATAATAAAAGCAGCTCCTGGGCAGCTGCTTCTCCTGAGGAAAAAATCTAACAGACTTTCTTACACCCATTACAGCTAATTCCAGCACTAATACTTCTGACTTAATAAAAATAAAGTATAATGTAGCTGTTCTTATATAGAATATCTTGAACTTAAGTACTGAACTTTTTGGCCTGTTTAGGTGTAAAAAACAAAAATGAAATACAGAGTGATTGGACGTCAATCCTAAAAATGTGTTTGAAAGCTTCTAACTCAAAATTATAGAAGAAATCTTTATAGATAAATTTTAATTCAAGCTGACAAGTTAAAATGTCAAAGGTTCAATTGATAAATATTGAATTGGTGAGAACTTCTTAGAAATCAGGATTAAAATTGGAATGCACCGTTTACACTTTTACTTTATTTTTAGGTTTCTTTTACTGTTAATCTTTGCAGTTCATTCTGATATGCCTAAAAACTATATTTCATTACCTGTCAAAATTATCTTCCTTTAGTGATATATTTTAACATGATTTAAATTTTATAAAATAGAATTCAAAATGTTCGTATCCTAGTCATTTACATGACCTTGCATTCTTAACATTATATCAGCAGAAATGTGCAGAGCCCCAGAAAGTTATTTATAACCAATAACCCGCTCTACTATTTTTTAGCATTAGCTTCAGCATAGAAATACTGTTTCAGATTCATATTTTCTTCTTTCTTCCAAGTGTCTTTTTCCCTTCAGGGTCCTTTTCTGGAATTGTGAAAGTCTGCAGAATTAAATCTCATAGAGAGTACAAATGAGAGACCTAACACATTTAACAACGGGGAAGTTTGTTTATGCCATTTTGTCATATCATGACAACTTTTGATGCCTGGTGGTATATCAGACTGAAAGTATGAAATGATTAATTGCTTGTAAGCTTTAGTGAAATAGCTACAGTTTATAGGAGATTACATTAAAACAACAATAATGCTGTTTGAATTCTGAGGCAAAACCCCACAGTTCTCAGGCAATACTGGTGCTAAGATTGTTACCTGCTGATGGAAGAAGTCCATTTTATTTTAAAGTCCTACATAAGAGCAAACAAAATTTTCATTTTTTGCCAAGTGAAAAAGGAAAAAAAATCCAATTACAAAAAATATAGTGTTATTATAAATAATAGAGATTAAAGTGAAAAATTGATTTTTAAATATTCCTTTTATCCTTTTATGACAAGCTTTATAGAATTTAAGAGACAAGCCCAGAATTAACAGAAAATAACAGTCTCATGGTATAATCTTCCAAATAGTGGTTAGAAGGTATAAGTAGGTTATTATAGCATTAAGTGATATAAGTTTCTAAAATATCTTCGTCATAGAAACCCATCTAATTTTATGAATCATGTTTATTTAATTCTACTTAAATTCCAAGTGATTTTAAGAGATTTAGACAAGCCTTTCAAACCTCTGATGAGTGTGTATAGCTGGAATTTTTGTAACTTTTTCTTTATTTTAGAGTATAAGCAGCCATGCTGCTTCAAACAAAGATCAAAAGTTTAAAATATTTAGGTATTAGCTTGTCTGTTTTCATCTTCTGAGTGAGTACTGATGAAAACAAGTAAGGAGATCTTTTGTAATTTAAGGTGCTATATGGTTGTCTAAAATTAGTGAACGTTGTATTTCAAAACAATGTGTGCTATTTGACAGTATCCTGTAAAAATACTCACTTCCTATACGTATGTATTCACTATACAGCTGTATTCTCTCATCTTTTAGGTATTGAACCTATTTCTCGCCTTGCTGCTGAGCTCATTTAGTTCAGACAACCTTGCTGCTACAGACGATGATAATGAGATGAACAATCTCCAGATTGCTGTGGCAAGGATTCAGAAGGGAATAGATTATGTTAAAAAAAAGATACAGGAGTTCATCCAAAAAGCCTTCGTTAGAAAGCAGAAAGCTTTAGAGGAAATCAAAGCACTCGAAGAGCTAAACAACAAGAAAGACAGCTGCATTTCCAATCATACTGCTGTTGAAATAAGCAAAGATCTGAATTATCTTAAAGACGGCAATGGAACCACCAGTGGTGTAGGCACAGGCAGCAGTGTGGAAAAATACGTAATCGATGAAAATGATTACATGTCATTCATAAACAACCCAGGCCTCACTGTAACAGTGCCAATTGCAGTTGGAGAATCAGATTTTGAAAATTTAAATACAGAAGAATTTAGCAGCGAATCTGATATGGAAGAAAGCAAACAGGTAGGATTTTTCGTATCTTAACAATTACATTGTAGTCATGCATTTACATATTTCTTAATTACATATTTAGAATTGTTTAAAAACTGTCTTATCCATGTCAATATATTTTATATTTTATTATTTTATGTAATTATAATTCAAGAAAAAAATTACTCTATGTGATGGTATACTAGGGGGTCCTAAACTAGAGTTTACATTTTTAATACTCTGTTTATTAGCATTTGGAAGATGTATCATTTTAAATATGATTATTTCTTTCACAATTTTATGAGGTTTTAGGACTAGCACACATTTCATAAAGCGTGCTTTCTGTAGTACCTATAATGCGATCAGGATTTATGGAATAAGAGTATTGTAGAAGGCTAAGGAACAATCAAGAGTATACAGCTTTGCATACCCAATCAAATATAAGTGGAGAAAAAATACTTTTTTCTATATTCAGGGTAGCTCTAAAATGAACCCTGAGACATCATAAATCAGTGATGTGTTCTGGATTATCTAAAAAGTTTTGTGAGTAATATTCATACAGGTTTTGGGTTCAGAGACTATGGCTGGCTGAATTGAAATAATCCAGATACCAATCAACGTCATGGTAAAGCAGTATCTCAAGTTATCCTGGAGAGCAGAATAATCTTGTAATATAGATGCATGTGGAAACAGTTTACTTGAAAGCCTTATGCTATTGTTACTGTGCAAAGAGACAGAAGTTAGTCTAAAAACCAGAAGCCATGTGCCCCAAAATATAAGTGGCTTAAATACCAGAAGTGATCATGAACAGGTGATAATGGTACTCAAGGAAAATTTTGTGTGTTGGAGTAATGATCAATGGCAAACTAATAAATGCATTAGCAGAATATAATATATTCAATGCCATTAGAAATGTAGTAACTGTGAGGTTTAAGGGATCAGGAACCATGGATAAATATGTTTTCAATTAGATTAGAAGCCATGATGTTGTGTGATAACTCATTAATACAAAAGGGTTTGTTTACCATAAAGAAAGCTCTTCTATAAAGAAGCTCTGCATTCATGACTGTATCATAGATGTATAGCTGCCATATTTGCAAATAATGCTGTATTCCTCAGCGATACCAAACTATACCACATAACATAAATGGATAGCCATGATCCAGTTAATCATAGTATGGTTTTTTTGCTAAAGAACATAAAGGAACGTAAAGAGTGTGTGTTTATTTGCAACTGCAAAGAAGGTTACTCTGCATAACAATTGTAAGATTAAGAGCAAGATATTCTATCATCTGACTGAGTTGCTCAGTTATGAGACAAACATTTTCAATGCGGATGTATAGGATAGTATAGCAGTAGTGCTTACCCATGACAACTTAAGAATATAAGAGATACAGGAAGTGTAAAGTGATATAATTTATGAGATCAACTAGTATTAAAAAAAAAGCTTTCAGAGTGACTCTGGGTCTGTGAGTTAAGTATTTCTCATGTAAGCTGATCTAATAAAAGTTAATTGTCTTTTCCAATGAACCCTTAGCAAAGTCTTCTAAGTCTTTTCATATATTCTGATGTTCTTTAAAATGACATTTTACTATAAATTTTCTGCTTTCCTTGTGGTTAGTTTTGATAAATACAGTGATGAGTGCCTTCCTAGTAACTCCATCTCATGAAGTTACATGCCTAAAAATTTCCTATGTTATTTTAAAAAATTTGTAATATGCATTAGGAAGTTGGGAGGCTTATAAGCTGTGCAGATGCTAAATGTGTGGTTACGTGACACGTTAGCCTCAGCAGCAGAGCTGGCTTGGGAAGTTTCCATCCACACCTGGCTCTTGATCCCCTGTCAGTCTTTACCACTTTCTCTGCTACAGTGCTTGTGGGTCTGTACTATAAGGCATGTAGCTGGAATGATGTAAGTTAAATAACATCATCCCACAGGTATTATTTGTTTATTTCTTCTTTAAGATAGATTGAATGGTTCAGTTTACAGTGTACTGCCATACATTCTATCAGAACAGCTGAGGACAAAACAAAATGCCATGCAAAGGCAGAAACTCCTCTGCTTTCCAAGTGAATATAGGATGTAAGTACACCCCAAGAAAATGGAGTAAAAGCCCTTGTTGTGCTGAGAAGTTCTGAATGATACCAATTTTAAGGTGACTTTCACCATAAGTCAATTGCTCTGTTCATTCCTATCTTTGCTTGGTTCAGGCATCATGCTTTTTTCTTCTAAGGCCATCCTGAAGTTTCAGGACCGTAATAAATCAAAAGGGATTTTGCCTTTTTTTGTAGACTTTAGATGTATGCGTATGCCTTCAGGAAGAGAAACCAAATCCAAAAGTCTGTATAAGCAATTTGAAAGTGAAAATTTCAGGTGACTGTGGGAAATGCTCCGGAAAATGATGGATGGTGTTTATATTAAGAACTTGTGGAGAAATTTTCAATGGGGATAGGATAAATTTAGGACTTCCGTGGAGCCTCAAGATTTCCATAGAATGCAATAATGGCTACCATTGTGAAGCTGGAGCAATAGTGCTTCCCTCAAGTTCTGCTCACACACAACTGTTTAGCGTTTAACTCTTTGACATGTATTCGTACAGTGCAAGTGTGCATATTGTGAACGGTATCTAATAAGACAGGAATTTCTTACCAGTGCCCTGAAAATTGTGAATTCTATATTAATTGCAGTTTCTGTTCTGGATTCCTTATTGCATTCCTTCTGGATGATTTTTAGGGAAAGGTGCTTTTTTTTAATCGTGTGTATAAAAATCCACCTGTATGAACAGATGTTTTGATGTGTGATAGGCATTTGTGAAGATTCCCAATCTTCTCCTACCAAGTCAACAGTACTGTTGAATCTTTTGCTGCCTTCTGATTGTCTTTTGAGGAAGAGAAAGAGTATATTGGCGCAGTGTTTAAGTTACCTCTCTAGAACAGTATACCATCATTTGCTTTATTTTGCCTCTA